TAGAAATCTTAAAAAAAAAAAAAAAAAGCTTAAGTCTTCCTCTCTCATGGGAACTATCCTGACCACTCACCCATTCTTCCAACCCTGCCTTACTTGTCTCTTTCCCCTGTCACCATCTAACATACTCTAACTTTTCTATGTCTTAATCTTACTGTCTTCTTGTCTTTCCTGGAAGATATTCATCTGTTTTGCTGACTGACAGATCTCCAATACCAAGAAAAACAACTGGCATACGGAGATGCTGAATAAATCTTCATTCAGCTAAAGAATGAATGAATTCTAAGTCCCATGAGTCTGGGTAGGAAAATGGCAGAAAACAGGTCAGATTTAATTTCTTTTTTAAATAATTATTTATTTAATGCCATTTGTTATTATTATTATTATTATTTTGTAATTTGACCAGTGAGAGACAGAGAGAGAGAAAGGGAAAGGGAGAATGTAGGCTGCCAGGTCTGGGACTTGAACTGTGGTCAGCCATGTGGGAATTCAGTGCCTTTAACCACCACACCACTTGCCGACCCCCAAACTTCATTTCTAAAATGGAGAACCCGCCACCCTGTACTGCTTGGGAATACCGTGAGCATTCAGGTAGTAGGTCTGGCCAGAGACCAAGGGCTATTGAAGCCACCTCTGTAAGCCCACGGTCACCTGACCCATGGAGATGAATCCTTTCCTCTTGGGCACCTTCAGGGTCAGGAGAAGCCACCAGTACTGGGCAGGGGGTGTCCCCAGGAACAGCAGACCGTGGAGACAGCCACGTCAGAGCTGCACTTAGTGCTTTCGTATTATCACACTCAATTTTCCAACGAGCCAGCTGAACTGCTACGGTTGTCATTCTGCCGAGGAGGAACCCAAGATCTGAGGAGTCGAGGAACTTGCTGGAGACACACGGCTAGTGAGCAGTCCAGCTCAGAGTCCAAATCAGGTCAGACTGACAGGGAAGCCCAGTCCCGCTTCACCCCGGCTGTCCTGGGGCCCTCAGAAACTAGGGCTGTCTACTTGTGATGCCTTCCTGGCTCTGCAGCCCTGTCCCCGGCTTCGCACTAAAGCCCTACCTGGATATGGTGTCTAGACAGGCGGAAAATCTCCTGTGCCAGCAGCAGGGTCTTTGGGTCCATCACCAGGTAGAGCAGATGCAGGAGGGCGAGGAAGCCTGCCCCTCTCAGGTCTGTGGCTGGGTTCGCTCCTGCAAGGGAAACCACCAGGACGTGGGTGACGGCGATGCTTACTGACGGCTCTGCCCAGGGCTAGCGAGGCTCGGGAGGGGCAGGCCCACCTCCCGCCCCACTCCCCACTCTGGTGACTGGCTCTCCAGGGCTGAGCAGAGGCTGTCGATGCCTCAGCACCCCGGGGCTGCCTCAGCACCCCGGGGCTGCCTCCTGCATGCTGTAGTCATTTCTCCGCACAACAACCTGGTGAGCCTTTAAAATGAAAGGCTGAGGGGCTGGCAGGTGACGTAGTGGCTAAGGGTGTTGGACTCCCACATGGCAGACCAAGGTTCAAGTCCCGAACCTGGCGGCTTGCTTTCTCACTTTCTCTCTCTTTCATTCTGTCCCTCTCTGGTCAAATTAAAAATAAATAAATAAACTAAATAAAGTTAAATAAAAATAATTCTTTTTTTTTTTTTTAGTTTTTTCTTTTTGGAGAGGTTTTTTTTGCTATAGGGCTCGCCAGACAGACAGAGAGAGACAGAGAGACAGAAAGCAGGAAATCAAGTCCAGCAACATAGCCATTACGCTAACTGCTGGTCCCACTAAAAATAATTCTTAAAAAAAATAGAAGACTGAATTTCTGGTTCTGGGACTAGATACAATAATACACTTCTCCCTACTTCTCCCACTAAGTAGAGCTAAAAGCCTGGGACATTAATTTTCTTTTTTAGAGAGAGATTTTTGCTGTAGGGCGTGTGTACTTGCTGGAGAGACACAGAGAGATAGTAAGGAAAATGAGAACTTCCCCCCATCCCCAGAAGGAATGGCCACACTGCAATCCCCGTTCCTCCATTCTCCTCTCGGGATCTTGGGCACGCACGTACATGTGCTCAGCATGAGTTTTAAGCCACCAGGTACAGGACTCAAACCGTGTTTGACTACATGGGAGTCCAGTAACGTAATCATTACAGCATCTGCTAGTCCCAAATTTTTACTTTTTTTTAGGTTTTTGCCACAGGGCGTGTGTGCTCACTGGAGAGAGACACAGAGAGATAGTAAGGAAAATGAGAACTTCCCCCCATCCCCAGAAGGAATGGCCACACTGCAATCCCCGTTCCTCCATTCTCCTCCTGGGATTTTGGGCATGCATGCACACATGCCTGCTGTCATGTTTTTTGGAAGCTGAGAAATGACACTGTGGTGATCCTGGGGTTTCGGTTTGCCTGATATACCCCAGCAGGGTGCGGGGAAAGGCAGCAACCCAGGGACGCCCATGGGAGCAGACCCCAAAGCCCTGAGAGGCCAGACAGTGGTGGTCTGCAGGCTAGACCTGCTTCTCTCTCATGAAAGAAAAAAACTTTTGAAAAACTCATAACACAGGGACCAGCAGGTGGCATGGAGGTTAAGGCACTGACACGCTAATGGTTCGAGTCCCCGACCTGGTGGCTTGCTTTCTTGCTTTCCCTCTCTTTCTCTCTCTCTCTCTCTCTCTGTGTGTGTCTCTCTGGTTAAATTTAAATAAATAAATAAATGAATAAATATAATTAAATAAATAGTTATTTAAAAAGAAACCATAACATGGGGGTGGCAGATGGCATGGTGGTTAAGGGTGCTGGACTCCCACATGGCTGATGGCAGTTAGAGTCCCGGACCTGGCGGCTTTCTCTCTCTCTCTCTCTCCCTCTCTCTTTCTC